GGTTTTCAAAATTTTGGGATTTTTATTCCCGATAAATGTGCTCGTCATTCCAATTTTCTTCGGTTGGGCGGCGTGGATCGAGCGCTAATTGCACGGATCGGGCCGCTATTCAATTCCATTGTCGGCACAATCCTGTGACGATGAATTGTTATTGTCGATCTCGCCATGACGCCACAAAGAAAACGTTGTCATCGGTAGAAAATCTGACACCCCGCTGGCGTTTCACAACAAAATTTTCATGTAAACAACTCCGACTGTCTTTGTTTACATCGTGAAAGCTCACCGATACTCCCGCCGGCCGGCCGCGCCCGATCGCATGGTTGCGGCATGGCGCTAAGTTTTCGGCAGCTCGACGGAAAAATAATCCATCCCCAGAAGAAATGTTACGCATGAAAATAACAACTACAACTTGTTTTCCTCGTTATATGAGTTTTTGAGCCCGTAAAATGTTTAAAACGGTTGAAATTTGCTCGAAAAAACGGCTCGAAAATTCACGGCGAGAAAGACAACATGGCCGACCTGTTTTCACAATAACAATGGTCAAAGGTCAAGATAGCATCCAAATGTATAGATACATGTAATAAGTACACATTACAGTGCTAAAACGATACTTTAAACGCATGAAAAATATTTTTTCGGCTACAACTGAAATAAGAATTCAGTTATATTTTAGTAAGGTTAATTTTCAAACAGTACTGCGAAATTTTCCGAATTAATTGGTTTCTTGTGTAATATTGTTGTTTCTATGTATGTGCGGTTGGATGCTGTCATTGTAAAGCCCTTTACATATTGGGAGAATCAGATGAGATATTAGAGATTATCACGGCTTAGTACCGTGACCCGAGTGTCTCTACTAAAATTGTTTTCGAGTGGAGTTTATAAACATGATCACATTTTTATTTGTTCAGCTGTGTCAATATGTGATTTGTTTGAGAAATAGGATTTGGTTTAGTTTTTAATATATTAATGTCAGTTAACATCTTTGGAATAAATTGCTCCAAGTTCCAGGTAGTAAATACATGTACATTTTGTATCATGTATTTTTCACTTGTTGAACTTGTGGAAGCACCGTTGGCCCCCGGTTAGGGGTCATCCAGGGAACCTATGCCCAATTTTTTCAAAATTAAGGATAGAATTTTTTTTGAACATGAGGATAATTAAGTACAGATCTTGAACCTTTCTACTGCCTTATACATCTGCAGTTGTACAGAAAATGTAGAAGTGAAGTTGCAGGAAATGACCTCCATTTGTGTTTGGAAAAGACAAAAATGCAATAGCTTCCCCCCCCCCCCTCCAGACCTCCCCCCCCGCCGCATTGGGTGCTTCGCACCCTCCTCCACCCTGCTCTGAATTTCTGGGGAGATCCCTGTCTGTGTAGTACAAACAGATCATACGTTCATTGTCCCGGCTTTTGACTAAAAAAAAAAAAAAAAAAAAAAGTAGAATCCCTACCTACCGACCCTAATTTTTTCTGGACTGTAATAGGAAACACAACATTTATTTTGTTAGGCCTAATGGAATTTAGGTCAGGTTGTAATAGATATGGTTGGTTTCAGCCGTAGCACCCGCACTTGTTTGAGAGTCGTTTACTGCCTCTGCTGTATTGAAATGAATGAACGAAAGACCTTTATTGTACATTTACGCTCTTACAAGCTAAGTGCAGGCCATGAATAAACGGGAAAAATAATACAGCAATAACACTTAAACTATACATACTAATGTGGTCTACTATTTACACGTTCAACTGCTTCTCGCTTCTTTAAGCATTTATAGATGTAAAAACATATTGGGCTAATGATACATTGTTTGTTATTTAGAGAACTTGAGCCCGTGAAAAAAAATCGGCGCCCCCCCACACAATAAAACAGTAAACGCCCCGCTCCAAAAAGTTTGCAAAAGAGGCTACGGTGTCTGCATTTTAAGCAAAAACAAGTAAAATTTGAAATTTTATACCTCCGGGCTTTTTATTGTATATTTTTATATGTTGTTCACAACAACAATTGTTGCGCGCCGCAGGACTAGGGTTTTAAACAAAGAATTTATCGAGCCCGGACACCCCTCTGTGCGAGGGGTCACCTTCGTGGACGAGACCGACAATACCTAATACACGCCAAAGGTCAACGTCCCGTGACCACTTTCACGCTCAAAGGGGTGTTCTGGGGCCACCAAAAGGCACCATTTTCAGGTCCGAAAACACATATACAACAATAAAAACAAAAGAACGTGCATTATCTGCAGCCCAATAGCAAAACATAGATCGAGTCTCAAAAGAATCCGTCCACCTAAACGCGAGAAACAGCTGCGAACATGAAAATCTAAATCTCTCACAAAACCCTTCCGCGGAAGGATGCCTCCTCCCCCGGAGGTGAAAAGCTTGCTTGTTTGATGGATGAGGGGCAGACGGCAACGTTCCCACGACGGGCTGACATATTGAACACGGAGGAAAACAGCTACTACCGCGCGGTCGTTCAGGGGCGGCCTTTGGGTGCACTTCCCCTGGAAAATTTAATAGGCGCCGGGAAGCCCTGAATTATAGATAAAGCCTTCTAGCCGAGTACTGACGGCCCCAGAAGTGGCCTGTCATTTGACCGAACCATTTGTCCTCCGTGCCCCGGTCCGTCAGAGAGCCAATATTCGGACTTGCGTGCGGGGAAAGGTCCCTGCTCGAGCCGTCTCGCACGGGTGAGGAGCGATATTGGGCAGGAACGTGAGGAACCACTGTAGAGCAGAGGTGTGGGGCACAACCTATCGACTGGATAACTAGCCCTACACACTTGTAACTACTACCTTTACCGTGAACTCTTTCAATAAAGGTACAGATGTGAAAATATGAGCTCCAGAGAGCCAAAATGTAGGGCACAACCTATCGACTGGATAACTAGCCCTACAGACTCGTAACTACTACCTATACCGTTATCTGCTGTGAAAGAACAAATACCACTTTCAATTTTTAATTAGAGATTTGAAAACATGAGTTCCAGAGAGTCGAGGTGTGGGGCACAACCTATCGACTGGATAACTAGACCTACAGACTTATAACTACTACCTATACCGTTAACTGCTGTGAAAGAACAAATACCTCTTTCAATATATAACGTAGAATCGTACAAAACAGTTGCAAAATGAGCAAATATATACCGTAAGTTGCAAAAAAAATAGATATTTGAAAAACAATACCAATGCCATAATCCAACGAAAAAGACAAAAATGTCAAGAAATGAATTCGGAGACAAGATTATTTGCCACACCATACTCTGTGTCATTTGTTCAACCTTCATAACCACGTAGATTTCATAATGAAAGAAACTTTTATTTGCCTTTTTTATTCGCACGCTCGCATCAGTTTTGGAATTTCCAGTGATGTCATCCATATAATCAAATCAACATGGCCTTAGGAACGCCTGGTCAACAGACGGGTCTGGTAAAGTTGGGAGAAACATAACGTTTAACTGGATATCAAAGTTCTTTGTTTGCAAGAACCGACGTTTCCATGACCGTCTGTCATCTTCATGAGGACTATTATGACTGGTTTCACTGTGCACTGGAGCTAGGTTCGGATTCACACTGCACCAGTAGCACTTTGCTTCAGTGCACTTTGATATGGAATTTGCATATCAATGCCTATAAACGAAACACAAGCTGCTAAGTGAAGGAAAGATAGTCTTAAATGCACCGATAGTTTTTTTTTATCTCTGACAAGAGGAGGAAGTGAATTCCATTGCATTGCATGGAGGAAGAGGAAAAGGAAAGCCTTCTATACTGCAAGGGTCACTGAGTCGGGTGATAAGTGCATGGGTACTATAGGTGATGTTGTGAAAATAATTGGGAGACGTGTGGGGGTGACATACGATTAAGTGCCTTGAACATGAGAATAGCTTACTTAGTTCGTTTGTGGTGCATTACTACCGAGGTCCCAGCCTTGCAGGTTCACAACAATTGCACTCATCAGTCATCACCCGAATATACCGGTGAACCGCCGCCATCTTGATTGACCGTGCCTCAAAGACGAAAAGTAGCAGAATATTTGTAACCCCAGGTTCGCACAAAACGTCAAGGCGCCAATCGATGCTTCTTACAATTCTTCCAAGAGTTGCGCGCGGACAGGGGAAGACAGATAGGAGTCCGTAAAGCCTTCCCTTACTGCCCCTGAGAGAGGATCAGGGGTTGATCTTACACCTGCTCTTCCCGTGAGACTCCAAAGCACAGGAGGCCAATCCTCGCTAAGTCTACAAACTATGTTCAGCGTGTCATCCGGCGGGCACAGACGCATCAAACACCGTCCGGGGGTGCTCATGAGATCTGGCAGAGGCGCGGGAAGGTCGTAAGAAAAGTTTTCCACTCGCGCCGGGAGATGAAAAGGGAACATTTTTTTTCCATTAGTAGTAACTGTAGTTTAGATGCAAAGAAGCTGGACTCCTGAAGGTAGATGGTCGAAGATCAAGGCTTTCGGTACAAACATGCACATTACATGCTTTACTGATGTTTTTGAAGGTCACTGTGATTATGGACAGATGTAAAATCAGGGCTCGAAATCAAAGGTGGTCCAATGGCCACTGACCACTAAAATTTACGCTGAGACACCTAAGAAAAGAAAACACTTTGGGACATTTTTGGGTCAGCCATTCGTTTGTTTATCAGGCACACGTCCCGGCCTTTGGATCCGGAAAAGTTGAAGTCATACAATGCTTAAAAAAAAACAGGTTGGGACAATTTATTCTCATTTTGGGAGAATTGAAATTTAATATTAGGACAGTGCTGGGACAATAAGGAGAAAAGTTAATTTCGAGGCCTGTGGATTGAGTGTGAATATATATGTGAATATACATATAAGTGTGAATCTATGCTAAACAGCATCGATGTCTTTATTGATAGAGAAAGGTTCATTGCAAGTTCTTGCCCGGAGGCTAATTGCAGGTTCATGTAGCATTAAAATAAAATAAAAGGATGGACAACAAATAAAAATATAATATGCGACTACTCCAGTCTTTATAAGGCCACTCCAAATAAATTTTATGGATGACGTCCGCGCGCGCATTGATTTTGGCCTGTTCCTAGAAAAAAAACACAAGAAATTCCGCTTCCTGTAACTATGACCAAAGAGTCACGACAGTGCCGCAAATCGTTAGATTGACGTGAAACCCGTAACGCGAAATGGGTAAAGAGCACATACTTTGTTTCTGCAGGCCTGCAAAAATGTGAAAGAAACAGGACAGGACGACTACTGCTGTTCCACCTGATTTATTGCTGTTTTGATTATGAATAAAAGACTTCTTGCTTGTTAATCTGTGTCACCTCATTCAATTCGTGTCCTAACATTTGTCGTCTCTTAGTATATTTCTAATCTAGGCATCTTGTTTTTTAGGGCCCTTGTTTTTTTTTCGCCCTCTCGCATTAGATATAGGGTCTCCAAAGGACGTCATCCATAAAATTTACTTGGTGTGGCCTAACATGTCGATCTTGCGGATACAAATACCTCCAAATGAGAATCTCACATCAAAATATGGAAGAGTCCGAGAGCAACTCAAATTACGCCAGGGGCATTTTTGTTTCAAACTTTGTCATTGCCTTCTCCGATAACATGTACAACTCCTGACACAAAAGGTCTTGCTGAACATATGGTTGCTGTCATCTCCTATTCCCTTTGTGTCGAAGGGTGCACTTACTCCCTGTGCCATACAAAAGACTCAAAGTCAATCGTATATTGATCATCTATTCTCTTTGACCACCACGATGACTTTGCTTGCTCTTCCCCGAGGGGGGAGGGGCAACGTTCATAAATAAATTTTTCAAAAGCCACTGACTTTTTGACATTGTAGAATCAATGCCAAAGTTTTTCAACCCTGATTTTTGCAATTTTTGATAACCTTCGTGGGTCACATTGTAAAACTAACTTTTCCTGCGTCAACAGGATTCATTACATGTTGATACATGTATTACAAACTACTGTCAAACATGTGGGGTCGTGTGGTGTAACGACAGAGCGTTCGGCTTGGAACCAAGAGGTCCCGAGTTCGAATCCTGTCATGTCATCGATCCTGTGCCCTTGGAAAAGGCACTTTATACGAATTTCCTCACTTAACAGGCAAAAATGAGTATGTCTGTTGTCCGCAGACTCCAAATCTAATGCTATAGGGCGAAAAAAAAAACAAGGCGGGCTAAAAAAAAACAAGATCCTACATTTTCAAATTTTGACATCATAAACTTTATTAAAACAAAAAAGAATTTTTCAACAAGTTTTCAATCATTATACAAATGGTTTTGATTCAGTGGAAACATCACATATACACATCCACCATCACATACAAAAGGAATGAAATACTTCACCGCATCAAAGTAAAAGACAAAAGTATAAATTAGAGCCTTGTCTTCTATCCTCTCTTGATATATCTGCCATCCACGTTCCAGCATGGCAACAGACATCTTTGCCCATTTTCGGCATGTTGACCACTGTCAGAGGACAACAAAATTTCTTGTTTTTATTTCCAAAATCAGGCAATAATTAATGCGCGTGCTGATGTCATCCATAAGAATTACTTGCTGTGGCCCAACTTGGAATTCCGTCCGCGTCCGGCATCACCCTGAATCATTCAATCGATGAGCATTCAGACATATTGTTACGACATCATCCAATAGGAACCTGAGATTTTAAAGCAATTAAGCCTGGCACATTCCATTGCTACCATGGCCTTGAAACGAGTTCTTGAACGGAAAGGCCTTGACAAATGCAGTGTGTCACAACCGGTAAACATACTGTTACTGCAATGCACATACTTGTCCAACCTGCATATCTTGTACACTATACAATGCAAGATAAGCGCTTATTGCTGCTCACCTTTCTTTCCACTTGTTCAACTGATTTCAATGCGTTAGATCCTATAGATAATTTTTAAAAATTTTTTTTAATTTTTTTATTCAGAAACACGATGATTACAAATGAAAAGACATGGACTAAGTGACTGCGAACTCAAGTTAGGTACAACTTATATTCTCGCAGTCACTTTTACAATGAAAGAACAATGTTTTACAAGACATTTAAAAATACATGAGACCTCGCGTGAGTAACAAACCTCCCATCCCAGAAGACACATACAGTTAGAATCTTTTTGTTTCTAATATATAATCTTGTGCGGCTAACATTATTTTGCAGTTGGTATCATACGAACAAAGGAAACTACCGCGAAGAACTAAATATTGTATAGAATTATCAGAAAGGGTGTTTAAATCAACAATATTACCAAGTATGCTAGACAGCTTGCCAAAAAGGACTAAGCGCTGGTAGGTGTATATAGGGCAGTGCAATAAATAATGAGCAATCGTTTCATATGGACACCCGCAGCTACAGGATGGACTTGTGACAAGACCCCGGGTATAAAGACTGTGGTTCAAATATAGATAAATCCAACTACATTCTCATGAGAGATAGCCAATACAGTATTCAAATAGGAAAATACATTAAAGAATGTTTCAACTACATGTTAGCGAATAGGTAAACCTTTATTGTTATCACTGATATATATTCTGTTCGTAATTTGCCACATACATATATTCTGTACGTAGGATGAAGTTATTATAATACATGTATTTAATTTTTTTAAATTTAATGTTTAGTTGTAGAAGACCATACCAAAGTCCCTGTACTTTTTTTGTTGTGTCAAAGAATCTCTATTATTTCAAAACGCTACGGCCCGATACTATGAACAAACCCAAAATATTTGGCGAGTCGTTGATATAGAGCGTATACGGTTACATAATTGTAATTATCACTCCTAGACTTTCAGGAAGCTAAATCTCTCTTTAGTAGCATGCGTCGGCCAGTGGTTAGCGACCCTACCTCTGCACCAAGAGGTTTGGGTGTTCGAATCCCGTCTGTTGTCACCCGACATCCACGCTACTGGAAAGGGTCGCTGTCCTTAGAATGCCGTGGCCCAATGTTCATTGTGCTTGCTAAAAATAGCTAGGGGAATTTCACCGGTACAATGAACCAGTAAATACTGTACATAGCGTCTGTCTTCTTTGTCATGACCAATGGAGTAGCTCTTCAGTGAGCTAAAACTAGATAGAGACAGCTTTCTTTTTCTCATAAAGCCCCATGACTAACTATAACTTCTACTGTAAAAATTGGCATTCGTGTATAGGATCTGTCCGTTGCTTCTGGGATTGCGCCGTCGGCAAAGTTAATTTGTCTTCATGGCACGGGGGAACAACGGTTGGTTCTCTCGCTACTGCTACTACAGTCCTCTGTTATAATCGAAAACGACGGGGCTTCAACCATAAAATTCGACTGGCGCCTGCTACGCCTTCGATGCGTAGGGAAAAAGATTCCTTTGATAATTATGATGTTCTGTAAACGAAGAGTGAGTCAAATTTACAGTATCCGATTATCATAATTTTGGTCGGCATTTTGAAAATTTCGCTAAATTGTCTCTGTCCTTGGTGCTGAATTAACGGTGGGCTGTTTTTGTACGTGTGGCACGTTCATATGTCAGTCGGACGAATACAGGCTACCACAGGCCACTTTTAATTGTTTTTTGGTATAATTTTTGGACGGTACAGACGTAGAAATTTTACCAACATGTTCCTGTCCTTGGTACTGAACGGTTAAAGCGTTGTTATTGTACGTGTTATGTATCTTCCCATGTTATTCAGAAGAAAACAGGGTGCCACAGCACACCTTTTAAATGTTGTTTGGTATCATTTTTTGGACGGTGCAGAAGTAGAAATTTTACCAACACTTCTCTGTCCTTGGTACTGAATGGTTAAAGGGTTGCTATTGTATGTGTGTGACATGTATCTTCCCATGTTATTCAGAAGAAAACAGGGTGCCACAGCACATCTTTTAATTGTTGTTTGGTATAATTTTTTTGGACAGTGCAGAAGTAGAAATTTTACCAACACATCTCTGTCCTTGGTGCTGAACGGTTAAAGGATTGTTATTTTATGTGTCTAACATGTATCTTTCCATGTTTTAGGATGTCACAGTAGACCTTCTAA